GTGTTAATGTTTTCGTTGAGTTTGAGTTTGACAATGTGTTGAGCATGTGTTTTAATGTTGTTGTTGTTGGTTTTTTGTGTGTGTTTAGTTTAATTTAATACATTTTTAATTAATATCATTATTTTTATTTAGTTTTGTTTAGTTTCGTTTTAAAAAATAACACATGTTTATTTTAATGTTGTTTATTATTATTTGTTTGTTTGTTGAATGGTCAACATTAATGTGGTCATTGGTGTTTTTTTTTTTAAACCAATTTGTTTATTAATTATTTTTAACGGAGTGTCAAAGTGTGTGTGTGTGTGTGTGTATTTATGTTATTTTATGATAATATGGATGTTGTTGGAATTTGTTATTTTTTTGTTCAATTTTTAATTGGAAATGATTGTAGGGATTTGTTGTCATCGATTAGTTTTCAAAGGCATGTTTTTTGGAGCATTTAATTAGATGGAGTGTTTTTGTTTTTTTTTTTTTTTTTTTTTTTTTTTTGTAAATGTGATGATATGCAGGTTTTTGGTGTTGTTGTTACAAAGTTAATGAGTTTTGTTGCGAGTATTTTTTTGTTGTTATGTTATGTTTAGTGTTCAGGCATTCCCACGCACGCACACACACATACATATTTGTGTTGTGTTTTTTTAGTTAATAACATTTAGTTGTGTGTTTTTGTTGTTTCGAGAATTAGTTGTTGTGTTTTTTATCAAAAGCATTTGCATTGCATTTATTTTTATTGTTTTTGTTGTTGTTGTTGTTTATTTCATTGGTTGATTATTTACATTGGCACAAAAAAAAAGCATAACACAAAAAATGGCATTTGAAAAGAGACAAAAAACATAGATATTTGTATTTAATTAATTGTTGCAAAATTTTTTAGTAAAATATTTACAATATATGTATATAAAATGTTTTAGACAAATAAGGCGAGTGAAAAAAAAAACAAGAAATGATATAAATTAAAAGTTTATAACAAAATTTGTTTGATTTATTTGATATGGGAAACAAAACAAAAAGAGAGAGAGAGAGAGAGATAGAAAGAGAGTGATAAATCAAGGGATTTATGAAAGCCAGCCTTCAAATATTTGTTTTAGATATTTACATAACCGTTGTGCCCCCCCCCCCCAAAACTCAACTTAGTAATTGAAAAATTATCATAATTAATATTATGTATACGCCCAAAGCAACATAAATCATTGAATTTTAATTGGAATTTATGTTTGATCTTGTTGACCTATTTTGGAGCTAGTTTTTTTTTTTTAATAAAAAATACAAGATATTAAATACTCTAGCTCATTGTTTCGTAGCTGAAATTAGTTATGGCAAAGGGTATTAGGTATAAATATTAGAATCATGAATGTGAGATATTTTTTTATAAACCATTTGAAAATGCTCTTATAGGTGTGGAGGCGTATACGTATTGTCATAAAGTATACGCTCAACGGCCTTATATCTAAAAAGAAGGTTTAACACCAACAAGGTGATGGTGGATTTTACCCTCTCTTCACATTTTCTTAAAATTCTCTCTTCTATTGCTATGGGTAAATATATACCAACTTATACCCATAAAACTAATAATTATCAACAAATATTTTTTAATGAACTTTTTTGGTTGTTGTTGCAAAATGGTCAGGCTTTATCCCTTTATTGTTGTTTTTATAAAAACAACGTTTGTTTATTAGTGGAGAACGATGGTAATGTTTACCAGGGGGTAAAGCAGGGAATAACTAGGTTTCGGAAAGAGCCAGCAATCCTCATCAGTTCCCTTGTTTTTTGTCTGGGATATTCTCCCCAGAAGTTATTTTAAAAATTCCCAAATTTTCACCTCGAAAGTTAAAGGTTAATAATACAATATTTCCTATGGGCAAATTACCCGAAAAAATTTGAAAGTTTTTAGAAACATTTTCAATGCTTAACAGCTCAGAAATTTTTTTTTTTCAGGACAATTATTTCCAAGACTAAAAGGCCGAAAACTTTAACTCTTCAAACAGTGTTTTTTATAACCTGTACATAACCGATTATTCGTGCTTATCTATCTTTGGTAGAGGTTACAGAGGGAGGGTTCTGGAAAAGCCAGCTGGGAATCGTCAAAATTCTTCGTGGCCTCGACTACTTTGTTTTTCGTTTTTACTTATATTCTTACTCAGTTCAGGGTATTTGTCCCTTAAGATCGCAGTTCCCAGATATAGACGTGAAAGAACGGAGAGAGGAACAAAGGCTTCAATATTAGTCTTAGAGGTAGACCAGATAATGCGTATAGGAGATCTATGACAGCAATATCATATTTTGAGTTGACTCCCTCATTTTAGGAGGTATTGTGAACTAGCTATTGGTTGGCGGACAGTTTTATTAAAAATATAACAAATAAACAGGCCAACAGTAAAAACGAACTATTAATTCTTTGGTGGAGGCTATTAATAGTTCGACCCGGCAGAACTTAGCGTCGAAAAATACCGCTGAAAAGAAAACCGTTATATAAGGGCTTTACGAAGACGTTATCCGGCAAAGGTATTTTTTTTGTCATAGGCTATAGTACCCATTACGAGCATTAAATACGAACTTTGAAACAAATCCGCTAACAATGTAGCTAATATTATCAAAATACTGAATAAAGGAAAGTGCCGTTATATTTGGGCTATATAAAGACGTGGACCTATCTAGATAATTTTCTGGCATAGGTTGTAGTACTCAATACCTACTTCAAATATTAGATTTGAAATAATTGCGGTGATTAATGCCCCTAAAATCATTAAAATACCCAATATCGGGATTTATCGTTATTTGAGACCTGTACGAAAATGTGGACCTGCATATGCAATTTTTTGTCATAGGCCTGTACGAAGATGTGCACCTGCATATGCAAATTTTTGTCATAGACTGAAGTACCAATTACGAGCTTCAAATAAAATATTTGAAAGAATTCCGGTAAATAATGTCGCTAAAATAGTGAATAGTGTGGGGGGGGGGGGGGGGGCATCCCGTTGTATGGGGGCTATATATGAAGAATTTTCTTCCAGGTGATAAAGTACTGACAAGGAATTTCACACAATTCAATTGAAAAAAATCATCAAAATACCGAATATAGGGAGATTCCATTACATGGGGGATATATGATATCGTGGACCGATATAGCCCATCTTCGAAGTTAATCTGTTTGAAGAGAAAATGCAGATCTGTGCAAAATGTTAGCTTCCTATCTTAATTCGTTTTGACTCTAGCGTTCTTATAACAGACGGACGGACAGGACTAAATCGTATCTACTTCGATTGGAATATTCTTTTTTACATTTTTTATTTAGTTTCGTCAAAATCTGGCATTTTGAGATTTTTTTCTGTGAAACGCTATTTTTTGAAAGAAGGCAATATAGGTCCAGCTTTTGGTACAGCCGCTATATAAAGATACCTGTGTGATTTTAATTATTGGAAAGGTCTTGGCCAGCGCCATCTATATTTAATGACCACCAAATCTCTCAGAATTAACAAAAGTGAGAATAAAGTGAATATTTCATAACTCAAATGAGTCAGAGTCTTTTGTTAAAAAAAAGAAAAACGATAAAAGACCACTCTTAAAAAAAAAAAAAAAAATACCCCCTCATCATTGAAATATTGGCTTCAGGGAAAGCAAGATTCCAAAAAAAATTCAAATTTTTTTAATTCAAAATTGAAAGAAAAAGGTGAAGTTGATCCATAAATGAAATTAAATATTTGGAAATAATGATAGTGAAGAAATATTGTGAGGTTTTGAGGGAAATTTTTAGAAGGAAAAGTATTGGAAATATTTTCAAATTTTGGAAATTTTGTTCAAAAATTTCTGAAAAATGTATTGGCAAAATTGAAAATGTTTGGGGAGCATGGAATGTGTCGATTTTTAATGACATTAATATGGACTTTTGGAGATATTTGGAATAAATAAAAAGGTTTAAATTTTTTTTTTTTTTGGGGTGAGCTCTTAATGCCTTTAAGAGAAAAAGGGGTACAGGCCTTTTTAAAAGGGTAATAAATAGGAAAATCTGCTGTTTTAAACAGCCAATTAGGTCAAAGGATTTTTGAAAACTACATGTCACTATTAAGATTAATACAAGGTGTCGGAAAAGTAATCCTCCTATCAGAAAATTGTATACATTTTTCGATTGGCCCCTAATGTCTTAATTACAGGCAAAAAACATTGGAAGTTTACTTCTGCGCCACCTTGTACATGCATGTGTACTAGACAGACATTCCGATTTTTTTTTGGCTGTAATTAAGAAATTAGGGGCCAATTGTACAATTTATAACAGTATTGTATCTGATAGGAGTGTGTTAAGTGTGATTTTTATGGGATTTTTGAAATGTGAAATTATTTTTTAATCATCCATTTTTTTTTAATTAATTAAAAAAATTTTTATTTTTTGAAATTATTTTTTTTTCTTTCAAATTTGTCTATTTTGCACTAAACTCAATTTCATGTTTCAATTTTAACAGTTCTTGTATTAAAATATCACAATTAAATTTTGGAAAAAAATTACATTTATAGAAAAAAAGTGAGGAAAGGGGAAGCTCATGCAAAAACATGCATTACATGCCCACGTTTCTTTTTTTTTTTTTTTTTTTGATTTACTAAAGCATTTGTGGCATAAAAAAGAGGCCATGCAAGCGTTGAACAAAAAAGAATAGTTTTTTTTCGGTCAACAAACAATAACATAACGGACATAATAATTAACGAGAAAATAGTTAAAATAAAAATAATACTCTTAAAAATAAATATTTTTTTCTTAATAAATTAAATTATATTTAAATATATAAAGAAAAATATAATAAATAAATTAATTATAAGAAATTAAACAACCCTAAACCTTAAATGTTTTGTTTCTTTTTCCTTAGGATTTTCTTTTCTTTTTGTTACTTTTTGCATATCAGGGAAGGGAGTTGTAGTTGATTTTTTTATTTCTTTGTGGTTTCCTTGCAAATCTGTTTTGCATTTTTTTTTTGTTTTTTGGTTTTTAAAGTTAACAATAACAACAGAATGGTACTTACATTTATCCTGACGTCTGCGGCGACGACAAATGCAAATGATAATACAGCAAATGATTATCACGGCCAGCAGCAGGACCAATATGCTGGCAACCAAAATGATGAGGGCTGGCTTGTCCCAGCGCTGCCACCAGGCCAGTTGTTCTGTTTGAGAATGATGACAAAAATAAGGCGATTAGCAAGGAATAAAATTTATTTTTAAGACATTGAAAATAAAATATTAAAAAAGTAGAAAACATTCAATAAAAAAATTCTCAAAATTATGTTTCAAAAAATCAAAAGTGGAATATTTATGGAAAAAAAAATTATTGAAAAAAATATTAAACATTGAGGTCATTTCATGCTTGGTATATTTTTTGTGTGAATATTTTTTGTAGTGAAAAAGTATAAAAATTTTTAAAAATATATAGCATATAGTGGTTAATAAAATAAAATAGTGTTATTTGGTTTCAGAATATAAAATTGTCGCACCATATCGAAATAAAAATAGATTTTTGATATTAAAATGAATTAAAAAAATACATAACCAGTAAGGAAGGGTCAAAAGTCGGCCAGGGCCGACTATATGATACCCTACACCACTATGCGTATTAAGTAGAGCTCTCGTAACAAAAAAGTGTATATCGGGAATTTATGTTACGGAATTTGGAAATTTATGTTTGGGAGTTTATGTAGTCACAATTTGGGAACTAAATCCAACTCTTATCCGATTTTCAAAAAATTTGACGGAGACCCTTGTACATGATATGTACAATAGCTATACCGGACCGAGCTATACCAAATGGTTAAATTCGGTTAAATATGAAAAAATCTAATCAATTTGGGCTTATATAACATATATGGTGAGCAATAGCCATTAAATCGGATAAAGTAGCCGAAAAATGACTCGTGAGCTGAACATATCGCAATATTCCATTCGCCAAATATTAAAAAATGGGGACGAGGTAAAGCCATTGAAATTCCAAATTCCAAAAAGTACAAGAACTTACACCGCTACAGAACGAAAATAGACTCAAAAGAGCCAAAGAGTAGCTTTGCTGGCCGAAAGTGGTGAACTGCCGAATTTAGTTTTCTCTGTCTCCGATGAGAAAAGGTTCGTTGTCCAGCAGCTGGTAAACAAACAAAATGATCGTGTTTACTTGCCAAAGAGGTCAGCTGAAAATGTGCACTTCGGTTGGCCATCAGGACTAAAGCGCCGGCCATGGTGATGGGGTGTGAGCCGTCATAACAGCCGATGGTAGCTCTCCGCTTGTATTAATCGACCATGGCATCAGAATAAATGCCGAATATTTTCGAGAAAATATTCTGGAGGGTGTACTTAAGTCTTGGACCCGCAAACATTTTGACCGCAGACCAACAGGTCTCAGCACCATCGCACTCAGCACGAGCGCTACCCAAGAATGGTTACAAAATGAGGTTCCTCGCTTGATTTCCAGCGCACAATGGCCACCAAAATCTCCGGATACCAATCCGTTGGACTATTTTGTGTCTGGAGTATTTTGGAAAGCAAGGTTGGCACTAAGGGTGGGAATACATAAAGCCCTTATTTGGGGGGTTTAGGTCATCAGCTGACTTCTTCGTAAATAAACAAAGGAGCCTAGGACCAAAATCGAACTAAGTTAAACTAAAACTCCTGAAGAAGCCTTCCGATGACATAAGCCAGCCAAATTAGCACTTTATGGATTCCCACCTTAAAAAATACCAAAGTATCGATCACCTCAAGCAAGCGCTGCGCTTCGAGAATGGGCCAAAATATCGCAGAGCAACATTCGGGCAGCGTGTGACGGTTTTAAGGTAGGAATACATAAAGCGCTTATCTGGCTGGCTTAAGTCATCGGCTGGCTTCTTCGGAAATGAACAAAGGAGCCTAAGGCCAAAATCGATCTAACTCAACCTAAAACTCCTTTGTTCTTCTACGAAGAGGCCAGCCGACGACTTAAGCCAGCCAGATAAGCGCTTTATGTATTTCCACCCTTATTGTCCGTTTGAAGGCCATAATTCTTGGCCACGGTGATCAATTCGAACAAATCTAAACTTTTTCTAAAATTTAATGCTATTTCCGAATTTTTTTTTATCCTTCAATAAAATTTAAAAAAAAATGTCAAAATTATGGCCTTGACTTTGTTGCAGTTTTTTTTTATCTCGACGTGTATATGGGAGCTATATCCAAATCTGATCCGATCTAGATAATATTTGTCGGAGATATTTCTCGGCTGTATCGGATATCTGGTACCATAGGTTTTTGTTGTGGAGTGCAAATTACGCATTTAAGGACTTAAACTCCAAATCGGATAAAACATATATATGAGACCCACGGCTATATCTAAACAGATTTTCATTAAATTTGAAGTACTGGTTTCTAGATTGAATTCGCTCGGATATGCCAAAATTCAGATCATTTGAACTGATATTGGCCATTTGGTGCACAAAAAACCTGAAATCGTGTAAAGTTATATATATGTGGGGAATATATCCAAATCTGGTCCGATTCCGATGAAATTTGTCAGAGGTATTTCTGAGGTATATAAGTTATCTTGTACCAATTATTATTTTCGTAGGAGCTATAGCTATATCTGAACCGATTTTCAACATATTTGAAATACTAGGTTCTACACTGAATTTGGTCCGATATGTCAAAATTCAGGTCATATGGACTGATATTGGTGAAAAAAACCTGAAATCGGATATGGGGAATATATGTCCTGGTCCGATTTCGATAAAATTTGCCAGAGGTATTTCAGAGGTACATAAGTTATGTGGTACCAAATATTATTTTTGTGGGAGCTATAGCTACGTCTGGACCGAATTTCACTAAATTTGAAGAATTTGTTTCTAGAGTGAATTCGTTAGGATGAGCCAAATTTCAGGTAATTTAGACCGATATTGGCCATTTGGTGCACATTTATCCCGATATCAGTTGAAGATATAAATGGGAGCTATATCAAAATTTGAAACGATTCCTACCAATTTTAACAGGGTTAGTCCTTGACCCAAACAAATATTATTTGGAAAAATTCTTCTCAATCGGAGAATAAATGCGACCTGCATTTCGTTTATAAAAACACATGAACAGAAGGACGGACAGGCGGCCTGACATGCATAAATCGACTCAGATAATGATTTTATAAAGATCCCAAAAAATAACTGTGGGTCTATCTCGCTTTCTTTCTCCATGTTACAAACAAATGCAGAAAGAGAGAATACCCTTACCTAACCCATGTGGTGTAGGGTATAAACATTTTGATGTGTAAAATTTGGAATCTCTATTGGCATTTTTTGGCAAATCGGAATCACTGTCTATATATCCAGACAATTTAAAATGCGTTTTTCGTTGTTAAATCCCTTAATTATTTATTATTATTTTATATATATTTTTTTATAATTATTTTCCCTTCTTTGCAACCTAAAATCGGTTTTTTGGTTTCACTTAAATAAAAAAAAAAAATAAAAAAAAACTATATTCTAAAGTATTCCATTACAAATTCCTTGCTTCGTTAACAATTTATGTGCCAGGACATGTTTTGTTTCATTTGCAACATTTCTTGGCATATACACCAGTTTGTCATACCTTTCTTGCATTTTGTCATACCTTTCGGTTTTCCAAGTTTTTTTTTTTTTTTTTTTGTTTTTTTTTTACATAAGCACATTTTACTTAACGTGTTAAATAAAAACCTATCATAACAACATTTCAAATTCCATACATCTTACGAAATGCATGCTTTGTTCCCTTCGCTCTATGTCATCCCTGTTATAACATGGTTTATTTTGCTTTTTTTTTCTTCTTCAGCCATGATTATTACACCCTTAAGGATAATATGTCGTGCTACTTACAAGCACTATTCATTGTAAATGTCTACGAGATATTTTCCAATGAAAAAAAAAAAAAACATAACAAAATGTTGGGTAAAAAAATCACATAACATGTCTTGTCATATTCATAGACGTCACATCGTCGTCAACTGTTGGATTTTTAATGGAGACGATACTGGGTAGAATGCCAAGAAACAAAAACCGAAAACAAAGCAAAACAAACATTGGAATTCTTGCTACCTTTGCTAAGAGTTATTGTGTTCCTAGAAGTATGCAATGGTTTTTGTTGCTTCGTTGGTTGGTTGGTTGGTTTGTTATTATGAATGTACTGTGACAATACTCTGGGTAGTTGTGGTATGAAGTGTTTATTATGGGGCGTTTTTGTTGTTGTTATTGCCATCATTTCTTGAAATCTTACTTGGCTAAGTAGAAATGCCATTGACTATAATGCTGGGTAATGTGATATTCATAAGAAATGACGACAACATTTGCCAAAGGATTCCTTGGAAAGTGACACAACTAACAACTCGTTTTATTGTTATTAGGAATATCTATGTATATATGTATATGTATGTGAGGGTTACAAATAATTTTTAGTTAAAAGATACTTTGATTTTAATGCCTCGTAAAGTGTAAATATTTATGTTGGATTGGATTTGGTGCTTTGGCTAAGTGTGATTGCTGAAGTGCAAAATCTTAGGGGTGTAATCGAAAAAAAAAAAAATAAACAAGAAATCGAGACAAGACAACTAAGGTGTGAACACTCAACAAAATATAAAGGAAATAAACAATAAAAAGAAAAAAATAAAAAAACTCTAGAAAAGAAAATAAAAATTATTATTGCTAGTAGATAATTATATTACAAGGAAAAATGGGCAACGTTACCAGGGAAATATGAAATGTATTTTCACAAAAAAATTAAAAAAAAATCTTAGAATTTTTCACTAGGGCATAGTTTTAAGGCCTTGGATATTTATGTCGATTTTAGATTTGAAAATGCAATATGATTTTTTTTTGTATTTTGTGCTGAACTTTGGTATCGATTTGTGCTTAAATGGGGCATAATCCAGATTTATCGTTTGACATTCGTTTTTCTCATATTTTATTATTTCACATTTTTACAGGACAAAAATTAAGCCTCTGCTAAATATGTATGTCGATTCGTCAAAATAAAAATCAGCTAAGTTCTTCCGGGTCGAACTTTTAATACCCTACAGCAATTGGAAGAAACTTGAAAAATTTCAACAAATTCCGAAAACTATCATATAAATGATGACCTTTATACGGGGGCTATACGAAGACGTGGTCCTGCATAAGTAATTTTTTGTCATAGGCTGTAGTACCCATTACGAACTTCAAATACGAAATTGTAAAAAATTCCGGTGAATAATGTCGCTAATATCATCAAAATATAAAATTAAGGAAGGTACCGCTATGTGGAGGCTATGCGAAGACCTGGACATGCGTAGACAATTTTCTGCCACAGGATGTAGTAGCCAATACGAACATCAAATGCCAAATTTGAATCAATTTGTGTGAGTAATGTGGCAAAAATCATCAAAATGTCGCTAAAATAATCAAAGTGCCGAATATCGGGAGGGATCGTTTTATGGGGGCTATACGAAGATGTGGGCTTGCATACGAAAGTTTTATTCATAGGCTGTAGCACCAATTACAAACTTCGAATAGGAAATTTGAAACAATTCCAGTGAATGATGTTGCTAAAATCACATGAATACCGAATATCGGGAAGTACCGTTATATGGAGGCAATAAGAAGATGTGGACCTGCATACAAACATTTTTATCATAGGCTGTACTGCCCGTTACGAACCTGAAATACCAAATTTGAATCCAATCGGGTAAATAATATCGCTAAAATCATCAAAATACCGACTATCGAGAGGTACCGTTATATGGGGGCTATATGAAGACGTGGACCTGCATGCGAAAGCTTTTGGCGTAGGTTATAGTACCCATTACGAACTTCAAATACCAAATTTGAAACAATTCCGGTGAATAAAGTTGCTAAAATCACAAAAAGTAACGAATATCGGAAGGTATCGTTATACGGGGGCTATACGTAGACGTGGGCCTACATACGAAAGTTTTAGGCACAGGCTGTAGTACCAATTACAAACTTCGAATACGAAATTTGAAACAATTTGGGTGAATGATGTCGCTAAAATCATCAAAATACCGAATAACGGGAGGTACCATTATATGGGGGCTATATAAAGGCCTGGACCTGCACAGACAATTTTCTGTCATAGACTGTAGTATTTATTACGAACCTCAAATACCAAATTTGAAACAATTTGGGTGAGAAATCATTGAAATACCGAAAATCGGGGATACGGTATAATATGGGGGCTATACAAAGTCGTGAACCTGCATAGGAATTTGAAATAATTCCATTCGCTTAAATCACCAAAATACCGAATATCAGGAGGTACCGTTATATGAGAGCTATACGAAAACGTGGACCGACATGGCCCATTTACGAGTTTAACCTGCCTACTATGAAAAATACACTTGTGTGCAAAATTTCTTCGAAAGACAGCGTGATTACAACATGCAGGCGGACAGACAGACAGGCAGGCAGATAGGCAGACAGACGGGCTTAATCGTCTTAAAATTTTACTCTGATCCACAATACTTTGTAGTGTCTATTATGAATATTTCGATAAGTTACAACCGGAATGGCAAAGCTAATATACCCTCCATTGAATGGTGGAGGGTATACAAATTCAAGAACTGAAAAAAGGTGATTTACTATTTTTGGTGTTGTTTTTAGATAAATATAAACAGACTGCTGTCATTTAAATAAATGAAAAAATGAAGTGAAAAATGTTACCATCCCAGAAGGTAGCTTCTAGTTCCATGAAAATACGAAATGATAAATATTTCCTTTCCAGAGGCTAGAAAGTAGTTCCATAAAAATATGAAATACAAATATTTGCTTTCATTGGACATTTCTTTCATTTTTGTGACAATTTTCATAAGACTAGAATCCCGCCTCAGGATATTTTAATTTCCAGCACATACCACATTTTTTTATTTTTATTTATATTTTTTTTTGTGAAAATACATTTCATGATTACTTCGAAATTTTCTAGCATTACATTGACTCCAAAACTTACTTCTAAGGCGCACTGTAGCCATGTTGTTACGAAAGCACCGATGAGTAGGGGGTAAATGGCAGCATTATCAAAAGATACAATTTTTGTAATATTAAAAGCATATTTTTAGGGATATATATTTTAGATTACATTAGCAAAGTTGTCCTTAGAACACTAGCATAATAATTATTAACAGCATACAACGTTATTAGTTACCAGTGAAATGAATTTTGATTTTAAATTTGATTTTTGGGGACATGATAAAATGGGAAATATGTCAGGGGGGGCTAAAAAGGATATACGTTTTATTTAATTGCCTACAACATTTCTCTGCAATTTTCTTTTAGTTCATTAATACGCTTCAATATATTAGCAAAATATTCAATAATATTCAATAAAATATCACGACAGCTTTTTCTATTTTAAATGCCTCATACTGGGAGGGGATATTTAAAAAAGTTACGAAAATATTAAATTGTCTTTGACGTTTTTTTTTTTTTTTAATAATGACTGGTTATAGATCTCTGGAAGTAGTGATAGTGGAACACCTATAAAGGCTAGATTTCAAATGATGTTAATGTCATATGTAAAGTGACTTTTTTCACAAGTGACTGTAGTCTTTTTATAGTATACTTTTAGGAGGCCCTTAGAATTTTTAATCTAAAAATAAGCTCTCTACAATAAAGTATAGATTAAAAGTTTAAAATAAATAACATACAAGTTCATTTATTGTGATGTTAGTACATTTTTTATGTTTTAAAAACTTGTTGGTAGCTCCTTAAAGTATGCTATAAAAATCTTAAATATAATATGTGTAAAAGTCACATCACAAATGTCTTTAACGTAATGTGAAATTGAGCTTTAAAAAACGACGAAGGTAAGCTAATTCCTTCGTGATCTCTTGGATCCGAGCCTTAGGACCTTATTCCCATTCCTGAATCTGAAAAATCTCCCAGATATGTTCATTTTTTAATGAAAATACCTTCTAAGAGCACTTTGTAAATATAATACTATGGATCTAAAATTTTTCTATATATAATACATCAGGGATGTACATGGCAAAGAATTGGGGCCCATCCATCGAGAATAGGGAGCCCATCCATCGGGTCCATCGAGATTACTATTTTTCTATATTTCGAACATTTCACATGGTTGAGAAGTTGAGCCCCGAAAAACATTTTTGTATAGTCGCCTGTTGTACACAGATCTTTTAAAAATTGAGACTCTCTATTTTTCTTCTCTTCTACAGAATACCATGTAATGATATTGTTTATAAGAAATTCATAAATAGTCTTCTATACATAGGATATCCTTAAATGAGAACACTTTTTATGAAATCCCTCTTAAAGAAGTTTTCGATATACCAAAGAAATATTAAAATTCTTTTATATACAGAAGTCCAGTTATAGGTCTGCTCTACACAGAAATCCTTTTTTCCATGCAATGACGACTTTCAAAAGTTCTTCTATATGGAGAAGACCTCCTGATAACATCCTTCACAGAGAACGTCCTTTAAAGGTATTTTATAAAGAAAATAACTTTGAAAGATCATCTATACAGATAGGACCTATCGAATGTCTTCTATGGGATATAAACTTTTAGAAGCATTCTATGCGGATACGATTTTTTAGAGGAATATTTGTGAAGAGTTTGTATTACATAAAGCTCTTTTTAAAAGTCTCCTACCTTCAGATTGAAATGAGTCCTTTGTACAAAAAAATCCTCGGCATGTTTTCTAGAAAAGGGATGCCTAATAGAGGTCTTCGAACCAGAATATATCTATTACAGATATTCTATGGAGAGAATATATTTTAAATATCATTTACAGCTCCTTTATGGAGAGACTATATTTCAAAAGTGTATACAGAAAAACTGTAAAGGAATTCTATTCACAGAGGTTTTAATAGGGGTTTCCTATAAATCGAAATCCTATAACCTTCTATGCAAATAAGGCATTTTTCATGTCTTCTGTACAGAAAATATATTTGCAAGGTTCTTAATACACATACTACTTCTATACATTGGTGAGAGGATGTGACTTCTTAAGTTTTTCTATACCGAAAGACCGTTTAGATGATTTCCATACAAAGAGGTCCCATTTAGGACCTTTTCTAAACAATAGTTCTATCAAAGGACTTCCTTACACAGAAGACAATTGAGAAGTTTTCTATTTACTCAAGAACTTTTAAAGGTCGTCTGTGTGGAGAATACATTTTTAAGGTATTCTACTATTGAGAAGGCCATCTAGAAGTTTTCTATGCAGAGATGAGCATCCAAGATTTTCATACACAGAGGAAAAACTTTCGTTTTATGACTTTCATTTTTACACAAATGTCATTCTCAAAGACTTCCTTGCAGAAAAGATTATATGAATTATATATAAAAAAATTCATGGAGATCTTCTCTGCTAAAAAGTCCTTTTTAAAGTCCTCTAATCGTTAAAATATTCTAAAGGTCTTCTATGCGGAGACAATAGCTAGAAGTCTTCCATAAAGAGTATTCTTTCTTGGGAACTTCCTTGCGTAGAAGACCATTTAGAGATCTTCCTAGTAGAAAACATCTTGCAGAGGTTTTCTGCTCGCAGAAGGCATTCTATGTAGAGAATATCCTCTCCATACAGAAAAATGTGTAGAGGTCTGCCAGAAGATTTAAATTCCAAACCAATACGGTAAAGTTTAAATGTGTTGAGGATTTTTAGGATAGAAAAGATTGTTGCCAATTGCATGTATGTGTGTTGGTTGTGTTATTACAACATTTCATGCCATATTCACAACAATTCAAAAAAAAAAAAAAAAAAAAAAAAATTAAAAAAATAAATAAATAAAAATTATAATAATTTTCTCTTTTCCTTGAAAAGCTGTATTCTTTTACCTTTCCACCATATAATGAAAAACGGTGTGGCTGTGGAATACATGAAATAAAATTTGATAAAAGAAAATAATAAACTAAAAAAAGTAATAATAAAAATATGAATAATGCAATAAAAAATTGGATTTATATTAGGAGTTAAAATCTACATAAGGAATAAAATATTAACAATAAAAATTAATAAATAATAAATAATAATAATATAACAAAAGTTAATTTCTTACATAAGCCGTATTGCCAAAAGTATTACCATTTCTAATATAATTTTTAAAAATATTCTATATCCTTCTCATCGCCCCGTAAAATTCGTGGCAATTTCCTCCTTTTTTTCTCCTACTCCCATTTTAATCTCCATTGCCATTTGAATTCATGGAAAACGTATTTTTCCACCTCCAAAAAAGAAAAAAAAAAATAAAAAACAGCAATTCCACTTCTTTTGTTTTCAAATCTTTTTTTCCACACCACATTTCAATTAGGATTCCCTTGTCTGGCCAATGCCATGGTTTCCATAATCAGCAGCTCGTTGTTAATTTATTCAATTTCAATTTTATCTTGAGAGGAGTGAATGACAAAAAAAAAACGAAGTTTCTCAAACCCCAAAAACCGTTAAGAGTAAACGAAATGAAAATCCAAAATCCAAAGAGTAATGGAAACCAGCCAAACGAAAAACAAACGGCCACAATCAAATCCAAAGTGAGAGAATAAAGTAAGTGAGAGAATGAATGAAACAACGAAAAAACTTGCAAACTTTATATTATAACTTTATATCATTGTCAGCTGTTGAAATTAGCTTAACCTCGCGCTGAATCAATGTCAGGAAGTGGAATCCGGCAACCAAACTTTGGTGGTGGCCACACTTCTTTTCGGCTGTTGTTCATGGTTTTTGTTTTTGTTGTAGCAAAATGTAAAATCCTCAAACAATTTAGATTGCAAGTTAAAGGGGATTTCAGTTTTTTTTTGTTCCGCGAGAATCAAAGTAGTCCAACATTGAATAACCACAATCAAGTGGAAGCAGATTTATAAACTTCACACTCCCACACCAATATCAGTACGCTCTCTCTCTCTCTCTCTCTCCCACGCACTCTGGGATTTTGAATTCACACTTAGACAGTTTTGAAGATATTGGAAGTTTAGCAGCAGAAACAGCAACAACAATGCAATGAATGTACGAACCAACCGGAAACTGATTACTGTCAATATTTGTTTCATTTGTATGTTTCAATACCAAAAAAAAAAAAAAAACATCAACAATGCAGTTGTATTGGTGTTGCTGAGAGGAGAGCTTTGGGGTGGGAGTATGAATTGATGGTGTTGCTACGACTTGGTGTTGGCACTGCGTTTCCTGTTGTAACTGGCAATTGAGTTCGTTTGATGTTTCAAGGCTGAGAGAGGGAGTTATGGTTTCTCTTTGGTTGGTTGTGATTTAGCGCTATATGGCATGAAATAGGAGACTGGATTAGAGATGGACCGTTGAGCGTGATAGGATGTCGCATAAAAGGGAATGGATAAGAGCTGGACCCTTGTGAATTTTGAAACCTACTTGACAATATTAAACGTATTTGACACTATTTAAGGACGTAGATGCCGCAAAGAGCGATTGGTATTAATGGGGATCCTGGAGAGTTATAGGACAAATTTGACAATATTTAAGGGGTTAAATTTTGTGGAGAATTAATTTTCTCCCACCTCGTAGAAGACAAAGACCGAATCTGGACTTCTCCAAGGCCAGACGGCTTTAATAGATATGCCTCTAGACCTATTTCGGCTAAAAGGGGTTTTTGTATATTTTAACTAATTTTCTAGACCTTAATGATATTTTTTTATACTCTTCCGAGGGTCAAAGTTATGGATTTTTAAAAAAAGTTTGGACCCCTATAATGCCCAAAGGCGTTGATTTTTTTTTTTACGATTTTTTCTAGAGCCACAAACGCCCCAAAGGCTTAGATTTTTTAAAATTTTTTTTTTTGGACTCCTACAAGGCCCAAAAGCGTGGATTTTTATAGAATTTCTCTAGACCGACCAACGGTCCAAAGGCGTGGATTTTTCAAGAATTTCCCTAGACCGACCAACGGCCCAAAGGCGTGTACATTTTAAAGATTTTCTCTAGACCGACTAACAGCCCAAAGTCGTGGATTTTTTTAAAGATTTTCTCTAGCCCCACCAACGGCCCAATGGCGGGGATATTTTAATGAATTTCTCTAAACCGACCAACGGCACAAAGACGTGGATTTTTTAATGAATTTCTATAAACTGACCAACGGCCCAAATGCGTGCATATTTTAAAGATTTTTCTAGACCCACCAACGACCCAAAGGCGTAAATATTTTAAAGAATTTCTCTACACCGACCACAAGGTGTTCTTCTACAAGGCCCAAAGGCGTTGATTTGTTAAAGATTTTCTCTAGCCCCACCAAAGGCGTGGATTTTTAAATATCTTTTCTGCACTCCTACAAGGCCTAAAAGCGTGTGTTTTTTAAAGATCTTTTATGGACTCCTAAAAGGCCCAAAGGATGAATTTAAAAAAAAAAAAAAAAATCTCTAGACCGACCGACGGCCCAAAGGCGTGGATATTTTAAAAATCTTTTCTGGACTCCTTTAAGGCCCAAAAACTTGGATATTTTAAAGATCTTTTCTGGACTCCCAGAAGACCCAAAGCGTGGATTTTTTAAAGAATTTCTCTAGACCGACCAACGGCCCAAAGGCGTGGATATTTTAAAGATCTTTTCAGGACTCCAACAAGGTCCCAAGCGTGGATTTTTTAAAGGTCTTTTCTGGTCTCCTACAAGGCCCAAAACGTGGATTTTTTAAAGATCTTTATGGACTCCTACAAGGCCCAGAAGTTTGGATTTTTTAAAGGTCTTTTCTAGTCTCAAACAAGGCCCAAAGTCGTAGATTTTTTAAAGATCATTGTTGGTCTCCAACAAGGCCCAAAAGCGTGGATTTTTTAAAGGTCTTTTGTGGTCTCTTACAAGGCCCAGATGTTTGGATTTTTGAAAGATCTTTTCTGGTCTCCTACAAGGCCCAAAAGCGTGGATTTTTTAAAGATCTTTTCTGGTCTCCTACAAGGCCCAAAAGCGTGGATTTTTAAAGATTTTCTGTAGAGCCTTCAACGGCCAAAAGCGTGGATTATTTAAAGATCTTTTCTGATCTCTTACAAGGCCTAAAGCGTGGATTTTTTAAAGATCTTTCCTGGATTACTACAGGGCCAAAAGCGTGGATTGTTTAAATATCTTTTCTGTTCCCCTACAAGGCCCAAAAGCGTGGAATTTTAAAAGATATTTTCTGTTCCCCTACAAGGCCCAAAGCGTGGATTTTTGAAAGATCTTTTCTGGTCTCCTACAATGCTAAAAAGGGTGGATTTTTTAAAGTTCTTTTCTGATCTCCTACAAGGCCCAAAAGGTTAGATTTTTTTAAAAGATTTTTTCTGTACTCCTACAAGACTCAAAGCGTAGATTTTTTAAAGATCATTTTTGGATTCCTTTGGAGGTTTAAAAAATCATCTGATGATACGAAGGGTCGAATGCATTTCAAAATATTAAGCTATTTTAAGGTCGATCGGCTTCTATTATTTTAAGAGTCCTCAATTACAAAATAATGTGGCTTAAAGATACATGTAGCCCCTTTAAAGTCCCCACAATGTCCTTATAGAGGTCTTCTATTTATTCTGGGCGTCGAATTAACAAATTTTGGAACTGCCCAGCTGACCTAGATTCTGATTCTAGTTATACTTTTGAAGTGGGTCTCCTATTATTTTAGGGGTATGGGTTTAGGGTATAAGTTGATCCCTTGAGGGACATTGCCCTAAAAGATCTCCACAATGTCTCTATTCCGGCCAATTTATTTTCATAATCTCTCTTCGATCAAATTTCCTCCTAGACTTAAATTTCCACAATTTTTACATTTCATAGCTATAACTGCCCAGCTGACCTAGATTTCATTCCGATTTATGAAGTGGGTCTCCTATAATTTTAGGGTTATTAATTTTCAAAAAAAAAAAATTTGCTTTAGGATAAAAGTTGATACCTTGAGGGCCCTTGCCTGAGACGGCAATTTATATTTAAAATCTCCCCTCGATCCAAAATGTTTCCTAGCCTTGAATTTCCACAATTTTCAAACATTTTTTACATTTCATACCTATAACTGCCCAGCAGACCTAGATTCTAATCCAATTCAAAAATTTGAAATGGTTCTCCTACTCTTTTGGGGGTATTTTTCCAAAAAAAAGATTGCCTTTATGATATAAGTTGATCGTTTGAGGGACATTGCCCTAAAAGATCTGCACAATATCTCTATATCGGCCAATTTATGTTTAAAATCTCCCTTGAATTTCCACAATTCTCGAATTTTTTTAAATTTCATACCTATAACTGCCCAGCAGACCTAGATTCCAAACCAATTCATGCATTTGCAAGGGGTCTCCTATTATTTTTGGGGTATCTTTGGCCAAAAATTGGCTTTAGGATATTATTTGATTTCTTGAGGTTCATTTCCCTAACAGATCTCCACAATGTCTCTACATCGGCGAATCTACGTTCATTATCTTCCTTCGATTCGAAATTTGTCCTAGGTATAAATTTCCACAATTTTCGAAAATTTTCCATTTCATACCAATTCCCTGTCTTTTATAACTTTGAGAACAACATCGAAAATTCTCCCTGACCCTCCCACTTGACTTGGTTTGGGCTGTCCATTTTGCGATAACATTCTCATTCTGATTTTTTTCCTCTGCGGAAATATCTAACCGACAGTCATGTTGCAACAATAGTTGCGTGCTTGGCATCAAGGCCAACAATAAGTCCGGCCATGCGAATGGTGGTTGTCCTATGATAACTTGTCATGCGAACACTTGGCCACCCACCTCAACACCCACTTTGCCTTTGGGTAAATATCAACTCTTCTGCGTAATACAGAGAGAACTGTGACTTGGAATTAAGGACGTGCTGGTTGAATATCCCCCTCCTACTCCCTACCTCCTTACTCACCATCCAAACAAGAGACGCTTGTTTCCTTTCATTTCTTTGCCAGGCAACACG